TACAGAAGAAGAAGAATCTTGCAAGCATATTTAATAAATAAGCAGGTAGTTTAAGAGGTAGCGCATAGTTATTTTTGAAAGATTGTTTAGTGTTTGTATTTAATGACCTTTTAGGGCTCATATTGAAGAAAAAAAAGTGTTTAGTAACATGCTATATAGTATGTAACAATGGACGAAAAAAAATGTAATATGCCTAAGATTAATCTCAGATTTATATTAAAACACAAGAAGTGAAACTACTACGAAAAAAAGAGGAACTCTGGGAATAATTAGTACCATATTTAACTTTTTATTTTCTAGAGTAATAGGATACATTTCCCTAAAGTTTCACTTACGACGCATTTATGAGATTATTGTTATTAATCTTTTTTTAAATTTTGAGGTGGTTGTTTTCTAATATAACATTTTGTTCATATTCGGTCAGCCAACGGGTAAGGTAGTTCTCATATACAGTTTAAAGGTTTCATCGGCTACGATATTTTTTAATCCTCTGTATTGGGCTTTAACATAGGTATAGTACAGATGCAATGTGTCCTGCACAAATATCGATTGCTGTTTACCTACCGTGTATATAAAGTACCAGTTCTTGATTACGTCTGACAGATCTGCTCTTGCAGATAACTTAGAAGTGGGTGGAATGCCAGTGGAAGTTGATGTTGTGTCAATAATAATAATAGCACAATAAGAAATATACTCTATAAAAGCAACCTCCTGCCTCATTAACAGAAACAAATTGAAATATCACTCATTGTGTTCCATTTTCTTTGAAAAATTATCTTATTTGAGTAAGACGATAAAGCTCGCTTTCAGGAATAGCGCCCCCTAGTGGACGAGAATGTGCTGTGTTTCATCACTTTCCGTTCATAAATACATCAAACATTTAACATGACTTTCCTAAAATAGTAGAAATTGCAACTTACATTATCAGGTATCATTCCATACTTAAATGCTAATTTTTTTTAATTTTTGGTGAGAGGGAACATTACCTTTGGACTCAGACAAAAATACAAGGCCCTTCTCAAATTAGTTTTGTCATGGAAACTCCTAGAATTATTCTAGGAAATAAACGCTCCTTTGTCCACACCAGGGTTTTAAGTAGCTTATTTAAGACTGGGCCTTTTATACATTTTTTACCTGATATTCATTACAAACTGTACTTCTCTCTTAACTTAACTGGTATGTTATTTGGTCACTTAGGGTCACAACAAGCATAGAATAGGATTTCAATAAATTAATGTTCATACACAATCAAATCTATTCTGCATAAAGGACATTGTGGCCACGTTTAGGAAGTTATTAGTCCAGATTGGCCGACATTTGAAAATGAAACGTAGGAGAAAAATGACTTTTGGTAAAAGGTTTATTTTGGAACTGTTTTCAAAAACTTTCATGATGGGACCAATAAATTACATTGTCTCTTCAGCACGAATAGAGCGATGCATCGGTTGTGACTTTTAATAGTCCTCACACAAGTCCTTTGTATGTCGATTTCACAAATTCTTCGAATAGGCGCCTTTTGTCTAGGAATTTTTTTTGTAATATCCCATACGGTTTTCCGTTAGCTGCGTATTACTGAAAACACATCAACGCTTATAAATATATTCAAGTTTCTTGTATTGATAATCACTGTGTATAGTAGAAGAAGAGCAAATGCTTTGAATTTATTTTGTGAGTAATGACAGACATCATTTTTAAAGATAGATACACTGATTCTTATTGATTACAATTTTTTTATACGTGTGAAGCGATAAGTTACGGACTTACAACTAAAATACGAGCTTCGATTCCCCGCGATGGACACATCAGATAACCCATTCTAAAACAAATAAACAGCATTACGTAGACGGCGAAATATATCGTTAACAGCAAGGTTACAAAATGATGATTCATATCCTTCCAGTCAATGTGGGTTACAGATTTCCTGTACATTGACTTTTTACATTAAATCTTTTTAGTTAGTTATAGAGTAATGGATAGTTAAGTTCTTATTTGTATAGTTAACTTATTTTTGAAAATAAATTCTTAATACCGTTTATTACCATTTGAAAAGAATGTTTCCGTACGAACATAACATAACATGATCTCTATTGAAATTTATTTGCAAGAGTTATTTAATACTATCCATATTTGTTTACAGCCATTTTGTAAAATTTTAAGTAATATTTATAATATGTATAGTTGCGTGCGATACGATTTTTATTGTAACCGATTTAATTGGACATTTATTCAAGGATAAAGGTCTCTTACGTTTCTATAGCCAATTAATTTAATTTAGTATTATTTACCATTTCTTTAATCGTTATTATTATTAAATTCATCATACATAAATACACGTTTATATCTATTTTTGCAGCATATTATCAAATGGATATACCGTAGCTAGCTGCTTCTACAAAATGTATTGTTTACAGTAACGACCATTGAAACAGACAAATACACACTTCATAATTTTCATGTACTTTTAATAGCTTATATCTTTCTTTGATTGACTATATACAAATATCATAACATATACAAGTTTTACACGTGCATTACCCCCCCCCCACCCCACACACACACAAGAAAAAACAACCTCTATATCTGTACAAGAACCCCATTAAACTTAAAATACAATAGAACGTGACCAAAAGCCACATAATTTTTGTAATATACATTTTAATACAATTACTAAATCTAATATACAATATTTTAACATCAAAATTCCACTCAGATGTTAGAAAGCTTACCCATGTTAATTAAATCTTAGCTGTTATAACGTCAACTATAATAATGCTGACAAACACTGTTTAATCACGGCTTTTACAATTCAAAAACCTGATTCATGTAAACAGTACGTTTTACCATTTGACATTACAAAAGAACAGGCACGGATCTAAAAACATCAACATTTGTGCTGTAATCAGAAAAAAATGATGTCATATGGGTAGTATAATGCCACTTCCCACAGCGATTACATTTCACGTACCCGCGTGCTGTCGAACTGGACGGAGGATAATACTTCTAATACTGTAGAATCTCGAAGCAATTCTCCCACTGAAATTACACATCCATGGTAAACCGGGAAACACGTCCCTTCTCCAATACAATATTCTGGACTAGCACATATATCTTGAAAGCTCTATGGTGAAAACATCAAATGTTTGCTCCTCTTTTCATAGTAGAAACGCGGGAAATCTGTAGCAACAAATGATAAGCCAGGTTTCTGGTTTTAGCACGAGATGGGTCTTGGCGGCAGGAACTGAAGGTCGGGTAGATGACTGGGAGATATGTCTATCGACATTTCCTTTAAATAAGGAGAAAATATACATAAGCACTAAAATTACAATTTAAAAATAAACTGACCCGTTTACATTAATTTATCAGATTTTTAGCAGCTCCAATTTTTTAAGCAAACATTACCACAGCTTAAAATTCTTTTAAAAAATAAATTTAAAAAAACTGTCGTGTAGCATTTAAATAAGTTTCATTTTATTTTCTATTATTATCAATGTATAACTATCGGTTTTACCAAACATTTATCAACCATGCACTGGAACTTTATACCATAACAAAAATGTACTAACTGTTGTACTCTGAAATTATGAATCTTGAAAAGACAAAGTTTAGAGAACATTTACCTCTTGAAGAGAGTAGGCACTGTTGGTGGCAGGAGATAGCACGCCTAACGGTTGCCGAACAGAATCAGACCCGTACGTGCTCCCATACGACGAGGAATCGCTCTTACGAGATACCGAATCACTTTCTAGAGCTATCTGAAGGTCGAATATGTAGTCGATAACATTCTGAATGATCTCTAGCTTACTCAGCCTCTTGTTCTTAGGCATATTTGGAACCAGATCCTTAAGTTTTCCTAACAACTGCTGCATTTCTTCCTGGCTGACATCACGCTCTCTCCTGGCGGTTTTACAGATCCTATTTTCTGTGCTTTTCATGGCAGATTGGCTGAGAACAGCAACTTCAACGGAAGCCTTCATGATATGTCTAAAATGAACCACTGATAAACAATCAATAAATCCAGAAACGGAATATTTTGTGTAGATTTCTTTTCTGTGCAAGCTAAAGTTTGGTAAATCCTATTACAGTGAGACTACGAGTAGAAATATGTGACGGTATCAGCAATATATATAGGTATCTCGCCATTAGGGCGGAGCTCTACTCAGCTTACGACATGCGTGACAGGGCTCTTATTCGATAGATTTCTGAAAAAAGGCGTGGTTTGTTTGAAAAGATTACCAGAGTACATGTTAGTTAGCTCGTGAGAATTTCCAACACACGAACTCTCTTTGTTTATTCTCCGAATGAAGCTCACGCTCACGTGACTAGTGGCATCTTCTGTTGTGACCGAAGGATACACTGGAAGGCTCTCATGAAATTGAGCACCTCTATAAACATAGAACAATGTGATTATTTTAACTTTTCGGCTAAAGTAAGTTAAGAATAGTCATACCTGCATAGGCTCCTTAATCACGTGACCCCTGACTTTCTTTTCAATTTAAATTACTGGTTAGATACGTGGAACAAGCTTGTACTGATGAGATGTATGATGATCAGAATCTAGGAACTTAAAATCTAACGAAAGTTAAGACATTTCATGGTATATTCAAGGTTTCTATATCACAAAGATAACAATAAAGTTACTGAATTAAAAACAGATAATTAGGTCTCTATATGTGTATCACAAGGTCACCTGATCTCATAATAGCAATAATCTCTCCGGAGCAATGTCATCAAAACAAGAGGCATTATTCCTTTTTTTTATCTCAGGCAGCAACTGACTCCAGCACGTTCACATTGTGATTTTATACTATAATATACTAAATAAGATAAAATACAAAGCCGTAAAACGTTTGTTGTTTCCAAGAGGTATGCCTAATCTGATTGTGTTTACTATGCACAGGTCATCACTTGTAAAGAGTAGGTATAAGTGCTTTAAAATGACACTTAGGATCCGTGAAAGTCCTTTGGGCATAAACTATAAACACGTCAACAGTGGTTGCTTCATTATTTGTATCCCAACGACGCAAATCGTTCAGAGAAATGACGAGCCTGGCGCCAGCCAGACGGCGCGTATGTCTTGAAAGCTGCCACTCATGGCCAGTAGTAAAAGTTCCGACGGCTAGTGGCTAAGAAATAGTATTACAAATCTGCACCTCCTGTTGACTTATGCCTACTCATAGCCACACACCTGTGTGAACAACACTTACTAACTTTACAATCTTACGCCTTCGGCTTACATGGCGCCAGTGAACTGTGGGAGAGGCAGGATAGTCTGAGATGAACAAAAAGAATTGGTCATGGAAACCACAGGGGATTACCTACTCTAGAGTCTAGACTATTCTAAGAAAAGCGGTTAAATGCACGTGTTTTACAAATAGGATGTGTCATGTAATTACCGTATTAAGCCAACGTGTTTGAAACGCATCACAGAAACCTTTGTCTTCACGAGATCGAAATACATGTGAAACAAGTGCATGTGTAGAAACAGAATAATAAAAAGAAGGTATTTTGATTCATGGTTGATTCCACGAGTTTTTACTTTCTAAAATCCAAAAACCAACTGTAATTCAGTCCCCAATATCAGATGTTATTTGTACATAACTCTGAGGGGCGTTGACGTGTTCGTAATTTTCTTCAAAATCCATATTACTTAATTATAAGTTAGATAACCAGAAGAAGTTTTTAACAACATTAAGAATATGATAACTCGTTACAAAAACCATCTTTTATCTCTCAAAGGGAATATGTTGTTTTTGAAAATTTGCTTTTTTAATCAATGTTTCAATTAGAAGATAATGTATTGTTTGTTGTTATTGTTGTTTCTGTCTAAAGCAACGATTTTACACAATAACGTAAAAAACATTACTCTCAAACATAGCACGCAAAGTTTTGAGTCTAAAAACACTGCATAAAGACTGCTGTATACAGAAGAAAGCTAACAGAATTGTAAAGTAACAAGCAACACTAACGAATGCTAGTTGTAAACAGGTATATTTTTAGACAAATTGCCCTTAAAAGTTTTCTGATTAATTTGAACAGGTTTGATATTCAATCAAAACAGAAACTGTAGGAATCATCTGTTAAGTTCAAAATACAATCTATAATGGTTATGGTTAACAATTCCTTTGGGAGACGAACGACAGTACGTGAAGTACGCACCAGAAAATGCGTATCTAAATTTCTGTGTCAGTAAAGGTCAGGACTGTAGAGTATATATGACCCACTGGGGACATAATTTAAAATTTCTTTTTTTCTCTCGGAAAACTAAAAATTACTTAAAGATGGAAGGTTTGTTTATTTTTTTCAAAGCGCAAATCTTCACAACAGGTCGTATGTTCTATGCCCACTGCAGTATTCGAACCCCAAATTTGCTTGTTATAAGTCCTCAAGCTTACCGCTTAGCCTCTGGGTGCAAAACACAGAGGGAAGTTAATATTGATAATAAATGTGTCCCATTTTTATAAAGAATTAATTACAATAATACATAATTGACATATGGTTGATCATAACGCATTTTATACAGATAATTTAATATTCAAATTGATTCAATAACAATAAGGAACAAATGTATTACCTCACGTGCTCTCAAAACAAAAACAGGATTAGTCTCACGTGTTCAGTTACTAATCCACTGTCACCATGTAGGATACACGTGTGCGAGTATTTCACGACTACATAAATGTCTTATCCGCTGCCTGCCCCCGAGTGGCACAGCGGTATATCTCCGGACTTACAACGCTGCAATCCGGGTTGCGATACCCGTGGTGGGCAGAGC